CCCAGGCCCAGAGTTCAGGCCCCACAACTGGACCCAAAAAAAAAAAAAAAAAAAGATAACGGGCATATGGTAGGTAGAGACCAGGGATGCTGCTAACCTATCCCACAAAACACATGATAATCTCATAGCAAGGAATTATCTGACCCAAAATGTCATCACAGAGGAAGTATTCCTATTCCAAAATAAACTAACATTTGAAACTGAGAGCATTTGGATTTGGGATTTTTGAAACAGGGATTCTCTACTAGCAAAGTCATACAAATATTATAAAACCTGAAACCCAGGTTCTGGCCCCAAGCATTTCAGATAGGAGACCACAAACCTAGAGGGCTGAGGTTAAAATTGCTGGTCTAATAGCAACAGTGCAGGCTTTGAAGTCAGAGACCCAGGCTGTCACTTATACATTGTGCTACCCTGGGTAAGTCAACAACCTGTGTACTCAGAAATGGGAAATACTACTATTCTAAGGGGAAAGGCACTGATATACAGCATGCATTAGATAAAGGTGGCCCTCTCTCTTTGTCTCTGTCTCTCTGTGTCTTTGTCTCTGTCTGTCTCTCTCTCTCTCTCTCCCTCTCTCTTTTTCTCTCTCATGTCTAGGATTACTTTTTAACAAACACCGAGTTCACATACTAGTACTAGATGGTTCATCTGGCTGAAAATGACCTGAGCCTCAATCATTTAGGCTAAGAAGGAAAAACAACGGGATGGCATTTTTGTTGGGTCAATTCCCCGAGCACCCTAGATAGGGAATTTGTTTGGAGGAGGACAGGTGACACAAGACTCGTATTACAGTCTTCATTACTCCAATTTTCATACTTAAATGAAAACCAAAGAAGCACCCTCAGGCCTGGCCTCAAACTTATGGTGTATGCAGAGGTTTGGGCTTGCACAGTTTCCTGAACCCAGTCCCCTGCCCTATTAGTGCTATTTCTTAGGCTGGTTTCTCCAGTCTCTGCTTTGTCCTAAACCTGGCTCACCGCCTCTAGTAAAAGGGCAAGATGATGCCTGTCTCTGTACAGACACGGCATCTGTCAGAGAAACAAATCCTTTCGTAATGGAGAAAAAATGTTGCTCTCAGTAAAAATTTTCCAGCCCATTTTGAACATAGATTGTCAGAGCTCAGCACTAACTGGAAAGTCACAGTGTGTCAGATCCCTTTTCTGGAAAATATTTCAAGCCTTTAAACACTGTGAAGTGATTTATATTTGACATACAAAATCCCAACAGAAGAGTAATTCTTCTTGAGACACGGAAAGCGTTCAGAAGTTCCAATCAAGAGAGCAGTTTACGCCTCTCACTAACAATGGTACTTCTGTTAAGAGTCAAGCTACGACTTCATTATTTGACTACAAGAAATTATATACCTTTAGAATATGAACAGACTAATATTTCAAGACTCTTTGTATATTAAAAACATAAGGTGGGAGGCAACTAGCCAGTAGTTTAGGAAATTGAGATCAGTAATAATAAAGCAAACACAAAAAGAAGTTGTCTCAGCAGGTGGACCAAATACATGCAGGCCTCCTGTTCCAACAACTACCTTCCAACAGAGGAGCTGCCACATACAACATCCTATCAGATGGCTGCAATCTGACAATGGTCAGAGAGCTAGCTGGCAGCCCCAAGAGTTAGAAAGACTGAAGTCAGAAACCCAGGTTGGAGTTCCGCCTACTGGCCTTTCAGGCGGTGTGACCCCACTGCAGGCACTCTCTGCCCTTCTCTGGTGTGCACCTCTGCATCTGTAAAAGGGGAAATTGGCCTACTCTGAAGACTTGAGAGTACCCAGCAAGAGGCCACTAACATTCCTATTACTGAACCTTTAGATAAACATTCCTACAAAGGCTTAAACGTTTCCTTGGCTACACCTCTTAAAGGCATATGAAGAAATCATGACTTTTCCTCCCAAAGAGCCAAAAACTCTAAACACAGGGGAATTCTCAACGGCACATTAGCATGTCAGTCACACAAACTTCTAAACACAATAACTGATGAAATTGATTGGAATACCCTGCAAGCATGTGTGGAAAGGTAACAATTCAATCCCCCTCTGTATAACTAATATAAGTTAATAAAAAGTATATATCATAATCATCTTGCTGATCATTTTTCCTTTTTTGATCAGCCTTTTTACTTAGTGGCTTACATTTACAAAACACTTTATAACATCAAGAATGGAACTGACATTGGCTCTGAAGAAGTTCTTTTGGATCTTCATTTTAGGACTTCTTGAGGTCAGAACCGGATTTTTTAGTTTTCAGATCTATTGCTCACTTAATCATAAAGGCTCACAAAATATAAAACAGCACAAGCTAGCTACATCAATAGTAATAATAACAAAAACAACAATAGTTTCTATGTATGCCAAGCAATATACCAACCTTATTCTTACATTTACCCAATGAAATAGGAACAGTTTTTTGCTTCTTTTGTTTATTAGGGTTTTTTTTGTTTGTTTGTTTTTGTCTTTTGATAGTCCTGGAGCTTGAACTCTGGGACCTGAGTGCTGTCCCTGAGCATTTTTGCTCAAGGTTAGTGCTCTACCACTTGAGCCACAGCTCTACTTCAGGTTAATCAGAGATAAAGAATCTCACAGACTTTCCTGTGCAGGCTGGCTTCAAACCAAAATCCTCAGCCTACTGAGTAGCTGGGATTATAATCGTAAGCCACCAGCACCCAGCCTGTTCGTTAGTTTTTAAGTAAAAGAGAAAATTGAGTCTCAAAGAAGCTAAGTAGAAACTGGAGGCATGGTTCAAATGGCAAAACACTGTCCAAGAGTAAAAAACCTGAGCAAGAGTATGAGGCCCTGAGTTCAAGCCCCAGTACCAGCATACATACATACACATATACATACATACACTCATACATACATACACACACACACACACACACACACACAATTATATCTTATTCAAAGACATTAGATAATTTGTGCTAAAATATGTAGCTGGAAAGAATAATATCACAAGTCAGAGCCACCGTCTGTCTATTCCAAAATATATGCTGTTTCTATACTCAGGGGGGCCTCTCATAATACCACAGAGAAAACATACTCTTAACTCACAAAGGTAAAAATGCTTTATTTGTGAAGTGAGTTGGAAGGTCTGAAGAGATGATAGGTATTCAAGTCAAAACCACCACTGATTAAAAGCAAACATTTTCTGTTTTGTTTTGTTTCTTAAACCAACATAATTCTTTCTTCCCCAAGTCATTTTACAAATTAAAGTTTACAAGGAGTTTGGTTTTAAGGACTGGGTTCAATTCTAAATTACATTTTTTTAAGGCAACAGAGACATCTTTTGGCCAATCAATTAAACTGCAAGAGTAAGCCACAATTCCTTTGCTACTGAAAAGCCCACATGGACTTGGCCTGCTGGCCACAAAAGGAAATGTCTCCATGAAGAATGGTGAAGTTTGGGGGGAGGATGGGAAGGGAGGAGAAGGGGAAACAAAGGAGGAGGCTACAATGCTTGATAAGAAATATACTCATTATCTTGCCCATGTAATTGTAACCCCTCTGTACAGTATTTTCACAATAAAAAAAAAAAAAGAAGAAGGTTAAGGAACTAAAAAAAAGAAAAAAAGAATGGTGAAGTTAAGGTATGGCTCCACTACCTGAAATGAAGCTCAATCTGAATGGACCCCTGGCTGGTGCTGCTGTTCTTGGAAGGCTGAAAGATACAGCTGAACACATTGGTGGTGCCTGGGCTTGTCTTCTGCCCAGCACAGCGGGTGTCAAAGGCCATCATGGAATGGGAAACCAAGTTAATGGACTTAGTTTGGTTGGAAAAACTTTCATAGAGCAGTTTACATTTCTTGAAATCAAATCTAAAAGGGCAAAAGCAAACAGAAACAGTAAAGTAATTCTATATTTTATAAAAAGTTAAGATAACAAGAACAAAATCATCAACATATTTAAATTGTTGAAGGAGAGTAACTTTCACTCTGAGATCCTAAGTTAGTTTTCTTAGCTGATGTCTCAAAATAGAATTTGTGGCACTGTACCACACATCTCATTTTTTCAGCTTCAAAGAGATAAACTTGTTCAGAAGAACTTCATAAGGAATAACAATGCCCCTAATTTATCATATTCTTGATTCACTATCATTCTCGTTTCCCAGCAGAGCTCTAAGAGGGCTGCATACTTGACATAATCCCCAACAGATGTCAAGGATCCCTTCTAGTTTGCCTGGAAGTTTCTCTCTCCTGAGTATACCCAAATTTGTGCATAAGATCATTGTACTTAGCTAGGCACAGTGGCTCACATCTACAATACTAGATACTTGGAAGACAGATCAGGAGGATTACAGTTTCAGGCTGAGCCAGGCAAAAAGTTCTTGAGAACACAGGTCAGCAAAGTCAGATACAATGGTATGCGCTTGTCATACCAGCTACAGCCCCCTGCTGGTGTGACCGTATTGTAACTCCAACACGCGCCACAGTGTTTACTGCCACCGGAGACCATTCAAGGGCTCTAGTTTTGCTATCTATCATATTAAAGTTCTATCGGCCAAGCACAACATGCTTATAATCTCAGCATAGCCTTCTCAGTTGCTGAGGGGGGATTGCTTATAAAGCCCAGGAATTCAAGGCCAGCGTAGGCAATACTGCAAGACTCTAGCTTAAAATAAATAGAACAAAACAAAATAAAGTCACTCTGAGTGACCAAAGGAGCAAAACAACCTGACTCTCAGGATGAGCACCTAGCTTAAGGAAGAAATGCTATTATCTGCAGCTGACTGTTACTACAGCATTGCCTAACATATGCTGACTATAAATTTAAACTTTTAAGAAAGCCCTCTGGGATAAAATTCAGTGATAGAAGGCACAAGCAAGACCTTGGGAATAAATCCCCGGCACTGCAGAAAAAGAGACAAACCAAGAAGCACTGGCAGACCTCATCCACTGTGGGCCACCCCACTGCTCCATTTCTCCGTGCTAATACAAAATATGTGATAACATCACAGAATTAAAGCCATACCTGGCTAGGGATCCAGCACCTTCTTTTCCTTTTGGATCTTTGAGCTCCAGGCTTACATTTACCATATCAATGAGGAAGCACATGCACGTGTACACTTCTCCACTCAGAACAGTCTGCGAAAGGAAAATGTTCATTAACATAGAGACCATGACACCACCTGAAAATGGACAACAGGACAAGAAGTGTAGCTTGCTTCCTGTGCTGCCTTCCTTCTCCAAGTGAATATGAGGAATTACACACAGGTTACTAATCAGCTGAGCCCGGGGGAGCTACAGAAGAACATGAGGCCTCACTCACATGAATTCTTGGATCTTGTAAATCGTAAGGTCGCATAAACTCCTCTATGGGCTCGCCAAGGTTGTTCTCCAGTAAGCCTCGAATCAGCTTGTATTTGTACAGATCCAAGGAGCAGTGGACTGAGGAGAGATTGCCATGGATAGATATGTCTGGAACACCATGGCTTATTTCTCTATGAAAAAGAAAAAGTTCATTTTCAGTTCATTTCACTAACTTAACTCTGACACAGCTCATACCTACACACAAGAGCTAAAATGTACCGCCTAATTTATCAACCAGTTAATTCTAATTTTGAATGTCAAAAAAAAGTCATGTATCTCTAAATAAAGCAAGCAGGTATGACTGGGTATCATGCTTCAATTACAAAAAGACTCCCAAATCAAATACGCACTAAATGCATTGGGGTTTAGCTTCATGGAAGAGCAAATAAAATCTAGCATGTGTTCAATCTCTGGCACTAAAAATATACACATACAGATATGTAGCATGAGCTAACTAACTAGCTTATTTCATAAGGGAAAAATCTCATGTGACTCATGAATAACTTTAATATTACAGTTTGAAAAGCAGTAAGGAAAAGATGCCAAACTCTTATTAATTCTTCAGACTTAATAACTAAAAGAAACAAGTAGTTCCTATTAAGCACAGATAGGATGGCAATTAAGATAAAATTTAAACAGATTATTCATCCTACCTGAGATGAATATAAGTAAACCTGAATATACCCAGGACTAGGGTACATGCATACTTCATGCCAACACCAAAGAGCTTGCTCTGCCATCTGTGAAGTGGCATCATAGATTTAAGGGGAAGAAGAATATAGTTTTGGGCTGGTAATGAGCCTCAGTGGTAGAGTGCTTGTCTAGCATGTATGAGGCCTTTGGTATGATTCCCTGCTCCACAGAAAAAAAGTAAACAAATACATAAATATTACTACATACAGTAAAGTTTTAAAAGACTGATGACATAGCCAATAAAGGAAACTGGGAAGCATTACCAAGAGCCTTGATGTCTCCTCTGAGGGAGCATGCCTGGTGCTCAGCATCACCTTCCAGCTAGGCTAACAGCACACCTGTCTGCCTATACACACTGATGGGAAAGGCAAAAGAGTTTAGATAAGCAGAGGGACAGGTGTTTCTTTTTTTTTTTGGGGGGGGGGGGATTGGTTTTTTTTTTGTTTTGGTTTTTTTCTGGAAAAGCACTGCTTGGAAAGAAAACAAAGTGCTCAAGTTCCAAATAACGAAGTTCCACTTTAACAGGATAAACCAGTAAAATTAAATATAGCTCATGCCAACCATAACTGAATGCCAGCCAGACAGCACTTGAATAACAAGTTCAAGTGAAATGCAAATATCCCAGCAAGGATGGCTACACTGCAGCATTCATCCAGAGAAGCTAAAATTGTGGCATGAAGTGACTTAACAGGAACAGGGAAAAAAGTAGCCAAAGAGAGTTGAAAGTACTCAGTATGCAAGTGGTAAGACTGTTTTTCAAAGTGACACCAATGCAAAACTCCTTCTTTGCTATGTAGCCACACTTCACTTTCCCTTTAGAGTTGGGACACAAACATGTGGCTGCATTCTCCTGCATTAGGAAAATGAAAGCCTACCCACACTGTAGTCAGCTGTCCTCGTTCCTGCACATGGCCTATGAGCAAGAGGCCCAGAGCATTGACCCTGAGAGTCTGCACTCTCAGGTAGAGTCTAGGAATGTTTGCCTTCAACAAGTTTCCCAGGAAAATATGGAACTAATGAGAATGAAGAAATGTTCTTAACTACAGGAAGAAGCATCTATGTTTGAGGTCAACTAGGAGGGTAAATTAGGGCCAGTCCTTTAGTCCAGGGTGAAGCATAATAGCAGGTCCAAAATCTACTACATTTGAAACACAAAATGAAAATGCCCACCTCTTCTGGAAGACTTTGCCTGCCCCTACTATCCTCCTATCACTACCCAATCCATGTCAAATCCATGTCCCCTTTTCTCTATTCCAAGGCACTTGTGTAATTTTTTTTTTTTTTGAGGGGGTGGTCAGTCATGGGGTTGGATGTTATCCCTCTGGGCCTGGGTGTTATCCCTCAGCTCTTGAACCCAAGGTGAGTGCTCTTGAGCCACAGTGCCACTTCTGGTTTTCTGGTGGTTAACTGGAAATAAGAGTCTCACAAACTTTTCCGCGGGGGCTGACTTTGAACTGCAATCCCCAGATCTCAGCCTCCTGAGTAGCTAGGACTTTAGGCATGAGCAACTGGCGCCTGGCATTTGTGTGATCTTGTACAAAGTTCCTATCACTGAACCAAACCCAAATTAGAACCATCCATGTACCTTACTCATCATCTATGTACATCCCTCCATAAAATGTAAGTCCTATGAAGGCAGAAGTTTTCTCTTCCCTCAAGACAGCCCTCATACCTACACATAGTTCCACTTAACACCTGCAGAGTTAAAGAAATGAATGAATATCTATGTTCTTCCTGATTATCTATGTTCTTGCCTTAACAGTATTGATTTCTAAGTTATTAAGAGTCTACTTATAATAAATATGTATTCAGATCAAACACTCACTTGTCCAGATTTCTTTCCACCTGCAACTTCAGTCTACAGGGCTCAGTTAAGAGGCTTCCTCCTGTCTGTCGCACAAAATAGGAAGGGAAGACCAGATCTCCACTACTGTCCTCTGAGGCCTTTGAGTACTCGCGTGGACATCTCTCTGCAGCAAAGATATCCATGTCCTGTAGATCCACAACAATGCAGTCCAGCAGGCAAACATGGTCTTCTTCAAGGACCCAGAGAAAGAGAAGAAGAAAAACAAATGGAATCTAGAAAGGAATGGACCTGAATGGACCTGGTTTGAAAAAGATTTGAAACTGCCTACTTTCCTCTGTTCCTCACTAGTCTGGTAGTCCGTAAGTCTGCAAATGGAAAAAAGACCTCCCCAAGCTAAGTTTTTTTTTTTTTTTT